CCTGAAGAGTCTCCTTGCTGAGCCTCTGGGAACCCTGCCCTGGGACAGAGGTGGCTGGTGCAGCTGGGGGGGGGGGGGCGGGCTAGCCTACATAGCCGCTTAAGCCCCGACTGCTGGGGTAAAGCGATTACTGGTGTGTGGTGCGTGCGTGTGTGTGTGCGCATGTGTGTGCGCGTGCATGTGCGTATGTGCGTGTGCATGTGTGTATGTGTGTGTGCACGTGTGTGCACGCGTGTGCTCATGTGTGTGTGGTGCGTACGTGTGCATGTTGCGTGTGTGCGTGTGTTTGCGTGTGTGCATGTGCGTGTGCGTGCACGCGCGTGTGTGTGTGTGTAGGTGGGTGAGACTGAGCTCACAGCCTTTAGCAGCTGCAGGTTTCTCAACTGCCCTGAGAAGATCCAAAAATTTGCCTGTGGCGTTTCCCTCCCTTTCCCTGCTGAGATTCACTCCCCGCTGCTGACCTGGATATGTGCATTTACTCCCATCTACTCCAAGATGCTATGCTCCTAAATTGCTTCTCCTCCTAGGGCCTCTCTGGCTCTAATGGTGGGATTTCAGTCAGTGTCGGAGGGGAGATAGTTTGGGATGTGGGGAGCTCCCTGGCGCTGCCTTCCTGGCATTGCCATGGACAAATTGAGATTTCTGACCTTCTGTTTGACAAATGACTCACCTGTAATCACACTTATTTTTCCTTGCATAAACTGAAACAAGAGGAAAAGCGTCGGGTTGCACCCCTGTGCCAGGAGGCTCTTCATAGCATAGGGTTAATTCTAATAAGAGCAGTGAGTGTGAAGTCAGGGGTTGAAATGTTCCAGAACTGGTGAGTAAATTCAGTTTCCTGTAACACACATGCCTAAAGAAAGAAAGTTCTCAGCACGAACATGACGACCGTGGCTGAAAATCAACAGCCCCTCCTGTGTGCGTACCAAGCACCACCGCAAGCTCTTCCCAGGTCGGCCTCTGGAATCCTCACCTGATGGTGCCCATTTTACAGATGAAGAAACTAAGGCACAAGGAGGGCCACAGTTCGTGGAGCAGGGATTTGAACCCCGGCTGTCTGGTACCCTTGCTGAGTCCCCAGCCGCTGTGCCATGCACTGTAGGACAGCGGTGTAGGGTGGTCAGAGCGTGGCTGAACGGTGCCCCCCCCCCTTTTTTAAGATTTTATTTATTTATTTGACTCAGAGAGAGAGAGAGAGCACAAGCAGGGGGAGCAGCAGAGGGAGAAGCAGGCTCCCCACTGAGCAAGGAGCTGGATGTGGGGCTCGATCCCAGAACCCTGGGATCATGACCTGAGCGGAAGGCAGATGTGTAAATGACGGAGCCACCTAGGCGCCCCAGCAGTGCCCCTTCTTGCAGGAGAATCACAAACCTTAGTTTCACTGGGGAGCATCTTGCCAACTACCCCATTTCACGTGGCAAAGACGGAGGAGGACAAGCTCAGAGGAGAGTTTTACTGCACCTCGCTAGTGTTCCGTTGGTTTGTTTGCTCTTTGTGATTTGTAAATATTCCGGCTTCTGCTTTATCTCTACAACAGGCTTGCTGTCCAGGTCAGCGCTCCGCTGGCTCGCCAGCACTTGTGTGACAAGCTCTAGCTGCAGTGATCTGCACGGAGTGCCCCGGACGCCGGGCTGCGGGGCCTGCTCCAGGTCAGACCAAGGCTAATCCACAGTGTCTGGGAGCTGGGATTTGACCACTATGCTTTGGGGCATCATGGCTATCTGAGAGGGAGGCAGGGTGTCTGGGGGTGTAAGAGGTTGGGTTACACGATAATTGCAACCTCAGGAGGCTTTCGTGTATCAGGTCAGGATTGCTTCCTACTGCAGATAACAGAGACTGGAAGTAATAGTGGCTTGAACCAGATTGAGGCTTATTTCTCTTTCACACAAAGGATGTCAGGAAGTAGGAGAGTCCAGGGCTGGTGGGGGGCTCAACAGGGTCATCAGGGACCCAGGCTCCTTTTTTCTCTTAATCCCACCAACTTTAGCATGTGGCTCCCATCCTCAAAGTTTCCTCATGTTCCAATGTGGCTGCTGGATCTCCATCATCACATCTGCTTTCTGGGGTGGTGGATATAGACCGGCTGAATGTTTCCCTCTGTCCCAACCTAACAATTTATGCTTGCCCTCATTTGCCTTGCCTCACTGCAAGGGAGGCTGGGAAATGGACTCTTTCGGCTGGGCACATTGCCATATGAGTTTTTTTCCTAAGGAAAATGGAAGACAGGACATAATAAGCGTACTCTGCATTCTCTGCCCCGGAGTACTGTAGCATCCTGTGCACCCTAAAGTGAAGGCTGTTGCTTTTTCCAGGTGCTGTGACTGTTTCGGACCAAACAGCTGGAGAGGGTTAGGGGAAGGAGCCTTAGCAGCAAGTGCCAGCACCCAGGCCCTGCAGGGGCTTGCTAGTTTGGGGTTTTATCTCCCCTTAGTGTCCTGTAGTAGTTCCAACCTTGCAGGAGGGGCTCTGCTGGACAACCACGGCGGGGTTGGGGGGGAGAAGAGAAGGCTGCCAAGTAGGGGACTCTGTGCCTTGCAGGTATGTTCTGGAAGGAACCATGATGACAGCGGTGATGGTAGAGCTTGGCACTGGGTTGGAGGTCTGGGTGGTCCACCCAGGAGGGCAGGATAGGGGTAGCTTGGAGTCTTGAGGATGTGGGTGGCCAGCAGATGGTAGCCTGTCTAGGAATACCTCTTGACACTCCTGTAGGGCCAGCCCCAGGTGGCCTAAAGGTCCACTGAAAAAGTTCATGTACACACCCCCCCTCATTCTGCCAGACCCTGAGAGGGGGTCACAAGGGTTGTGACAATCCAAGGGAACATTTCACTGCCAAAGGCATCTTTCCCTCCATGTCACACTGATCCTCCCCACAGACTGGTGAGGTTGGGGGAGATTCTTTCCTTTTTACAGATAGGGAAACTGAGGTTGAGAGTGGGTAAAAGATGGGCTCAAAGTCACACTGTGGCAGAGCTGGTTGGGCCCCAGGTCCTTTGAGTCCCAAAGGGGAGGGGGGATGGTCTGAGTAAATGTTCTAAATGTAGTGTCTCTTCATTTCTTTTTTACTTTAACTTAAAAAAAATTGAGGTATAATTTACACACAGGAAAGGAAAGTGTAGATTTTAAGTGTACAGTTCAATGAATTTTACCTGTTTGTCAAACATTCCCAGCACCTCAGAAGGCTCCTTATGTCCCTTCCTAGTCACCAACCTCTCCTCTCCTAAAGGGCAACCACAATCCTGACCTCTATCACTAGAGATTGGTTTTGCCTGTTCTTACACTTCATATAAACAGAGTCATGCAGTGTGTTCTTTCTCTTTTGGCTTCTTGGACTTAGCGTAATGCCTGTGAGAGTCATCTGGGTTGCGGCATGTATATCTGTAGTTGATTCTTTTTTTTATTGCTGAGTAATATTCCACTGTGGGCTATGCCACCATTTGTCTATTCATTTATCTGTTGATGGACATTTGGGTTGTTTCCTGTTTGGAGCTGTAATGAGTAACGCTGCAGTGAGCATTCATGTTCACATCTTTGTGTAGACATATGCTTTCACGTCTTTGGGGCAAATACCTAGCTGTGGAATGGCTGGGTCAGAGAATAGACATATGTTTAGCTTTGTAAGAGACTGTCAAACAGGTTGAACCATTGCCACTCCCACTAGCTGTGTACAAGCTGTGTATCCTTCCTATATTTGATATTTTCAGTCTTCTCAATTGTGGCCATTCCTGTGGGTGTGAATGATAACTTGTTGTGGTTTTAATTTGCATATCTCTGGTGGTTGATAATGTTGACTGTCTTTTCATGTGCATATTGGTTATTTTGATATTTTCTTTCATGAAATGCCAGTTTGTATCTTCTGCCTATTTAAAAAAAAGTGGGGTTCTTTCCTTATTAATTTGCAGTTCTTTATATATGCTGGATAGTAGTCCTTTGTCAGATACATGCATTGAGATATCTTCTCTGCATCTGTGAATTGGCTTTTCTTTCTCTTAATGGTGTCTTTTGATGAATATAACTCTTAATTATAATGAAGCACAATGTATCATTTTTCTTTTATGTTGTTTTGTGTTGCATTTAAGAAAGCTTTGCCTCCCCAAGTGGAGTCGTTTTAACACATGACTCCATGCGGCCTCACGCCATCTGTTTGCTCTCTCTGCCGCCTCATCTCCTATTAGAAGCGCCTCTCAGAAGCAGGGGGTGAGGAAGGCAGAGATGGGATGAAAGATCTCTGATAAAATGCAGGGTTAAAAGCCTGGATTACTCGCCTCCCCAGGACATGAGATTTGTGTCCCTCGCCCCCTTCCTTCCCCTTTGTGGATTTGGGTTTAGGCTGTGCTGCAAGATTAAAACCAAAGAGATTAAAAGATTACCTCTGGCAGGGAAGGCAAATTCTTCCTCTTTGCTCCCTGAGTCAGTGGGGAAGGTCGGGGAGGAGGTAGGGTACTAGTAACAGAACCACTCCACCTCTAGGGACTGGTTCCTTCTTCCTCCTCCTCTGGGGAGGCCTGGCCAGGGCCACCCTCACCATGTGTAGCCTTGGGCACACACACACCTCTCTGGGTCTCAGTTCCCAAGTTGAAGAGCAGGTGTGGGAGCTGAGCTGGATAGGGAGCACCAACATGAGCTTTAGTGGGTTCTCAAAGCCTGGTGATGCGTTAGAAACGCAAACTTCAGGCCCCTCCCAGACCTGCTGAGGAAGAAACTCTGGGGAGTGCGGAGGAGGGGCAGCAATCTGGGTTTTAAAGATTTTTATTTATTTATTTATTTATTTATTTATTTATTTATTTATTTATTTATTTAAGACAGAGAGAATGAGAGAGATAGAGCACACGAGAGGGGGGAGGGTCAGAGGGAGAAGCAGGCTCCCTGCCGAGCAGGGAGCCCGATGCGGGACTCGATCCAGGGACTCCAGGATCATGACCTGAGCCGAAAGCAGTCGCTTAACCAACTGAGCCACCCAGGCGCCCGCATCTGGGTTTTAAAAGCCCTCCAGGGCAGGGGCGCCTGGGTGGCTCAGTCGTTAAGCGTCTGCCTTCGGCTCAGGTCATGATCCCAGGGTCCTGGGATCGAGCCCCTCATTGGGCTCCCTGCTCTGTGGGAAGCCTGCTTCTCCCTCTCCCACTCCCCCTGCTTGTGTTCCCTCTCTCGCTGTCAAATAAATAAATAAAGTCTTAAAAAAAATAAAAGCCCTCCAGGGCATTCTGATGCACACTAAGGCCTGGGTACCAGCACCTTAATTATGGTAACAATAGCTAATTTTTAGAGCATCTAAATGTGCTCATCAGTGACTCTTCTAAAGAGTATGTACCCGCTCACCTGTGATGGAGGTACTATTACTCACTCCATTTTACCCCAGCGAGAACTGAGACACAGAGAGGTGAAGCAGCTTGCCCAGGGTCACACAGCTACTAAGCGGCTGAGCCTGGATTTAGACGTGGGGAGGCTGGCTCCACGCACTGAGCTACCAACCACTGTTCATATGGTTTTGAATTCCCAGCGCTGTGCATCCTGGACCTTCACCGAAGTCCACAGTCTTTATCAGCTGCTCCAGGGGGCTGACTGCCCTGGGGACCCCTGGCTCTCAAGGTTCTTTCCCTGCCTCTCCTCAGGGTCCGCTGAGTCTGCTCTGACCACACAGGGCAGCTTCCCACTTCCTGCTTCCTGGGGAGCTGGCGGCTGGGAAACCCCTGGGCTGAGGTGGAGGGAAGCGGATGTTGTGAGCTGACCCCAGCTGCATTGTCAACCAGACCCAGAGACAGAGGCCTATAGCACGCTGGGTGAAACTCGTTCATGTCTTGCGTCATTTCCTCGTTCAGTATTTAGTGATCCCAACCAGAGAGAAGTCAGAGCCTGCAGAAAGCCAGAGGCAGATAGAAGGGGACGAGGGGAAGAGGAAAACTGTCCATTCATTTTACGATTCTTCCTACAAGTCCCCTCCTGCACTAGGGATGGTTGAAGATACCAACCCTGATGCTGGAAAGTGATCAAGGAACAGCCAAGGCCCAGATGCAGAGGCTGATTTATGGGGGCTGTGCTGGGGAGCTGGAGTGAGCATGCCAGGTGGGAGAGGGCAATCCATCACTGCTTCCTAGGGGAGTGGCAAGTCCCCCCCCCCACCTGCCTGGCCCCTACTGGGGGGTGAGCCTGCCTTGCCCTCTGCCATGTCACCAAGGCCCCTGCTCTCAGGGGCAGGTGGCATTGCCTAGGAGTTTGGGGAGCTCTAGCACTCCCCCCACTTTTCTGCCCCAGTTTTCTTGGGTCTAGAGTCCCTTCGAACCTTTGGGTGGGGGCAAGGGTGGTTGCGGGGGGAGGAAGGACCTCCCCCCCAGATAGAACCCTGGTCAAGTCCCTTCTCTGTGACTCAGCTTTCTCCTCTGTAAATGAGGGCCTCAGCCCAGCCGGGCCAGCCGCACAGGGTGGTCGTGGCGGTGAAGGGGTATGGCCATGGGCTGCCAAGCTCTGTCCCACCTGAGACAAGCAGGAGGTCGGAAGGAGGAACTTGCCTCTGACGACTGTGCTCCCAGGCGTGTGCCGGGCTCTGCGTGGGGAGATGTGTGTTGGGCACCCAGGGGTGGCTGCAGCCCAGGGCCCGCGCGGGCAGGCGTGTCCACCTGTGCATCTTTGGATGGATCCAAAGATCCATCACGGGTACATGCGTGGTGCATGAGTGTGTGTGCACACGTGCGTGTGCGGGCCTGTGCGTGTGCAAACATACTGATGGCCCGAGCTGCCTGTGATCCCTTTACTCCTGCCAGCTGGGGAGGACCCCTCTGGGGCGCGGTGGTGGGGGTGTGGCTGGGTGCTCATGCCCAGGCCCCATCCAGCTGGTTATTTATTGATTAATTCTGCTGCCAGCTGATGGATGCCAAGCCGATGCCAGGCGCAGGCCCTGGGCTGATTTACATAATTAAAAACCATCAGTAACAGAGCCAGGCCTCACCCGCCAACTGCTTCCTCTGGCATGACAACAAGCTGAGCCTCCCTCCTCCACCCCCACCCTTGCCTCTGCACCCCAGGTCTTCCTCGCCTGCCTGACCCCCTCCCTCTCCCGGCCCGCCCCGGGTCAGCCTACCGGCCTGGGCCACTCCATATCAGCCCCTGCCCAGTCTGATGGAGAGATTGTAGTGTTTTGGGATTCTCGAGTCACTGACTCCAAGATTCTATTAGTCCATGGTTCTTTGATGGAGAGTCTCAGATTAGAAGAGATTCAGCTGTGATCCTCCAAGTATGTGATTTTTCAAGAGTCTATTACTCTACGTGACAAAGGGGAAAAATGTTTGCTCTCAGCAGTCCTGCCTGCTCTCAAGGAGGTGGGGCTGCTCTCAGGAGAGCCTGGCTTTCCGCGGAGGCCACCGTGGTGGGTGGGGTGTGTCCATCACTGCTTTACAGAGGAAGGAGCCATTTGTCACGGCCGAAGGCTCAGGGCAGGGGCGGGTGCTGGGGAGTCTGGGCAGAAGGAAGGAGGACCCAAGGACGCCTCGGGAAGGGGCGGGGAGATATCCCTCGTGGAGGCCCCCCTCTAAGAGGGGCTTCAGAAAATTCTGGATTCAGCAGAGCGTGTGATGTCAACCCCCTTGCTGGTGTTGCTTCCAGTGTCTTCAGAAAAGGCCCTCACATCTAGAGAGGCAGTTTGGGGTGACCAGCATGGGCTCCTCCACATCCCAGCTGTGTGATCTTGGGAAGCTACTCAGCCTCTCTGAGCTAGTTACCTTCTCACCTGTGAAATGGGGCTTGTTGTAAGGATGAAATGTTAATCTGTGCAATGGGCTTAGTAGTCAGCCAGCATGTGGTGAACCCCTCATGAATGGTGGCTGTTATTGTGTGGGAGTGGGTGTTTTGGGGAGACCTTCAGCGGGCTCGTCAGACTTGGTGAAAGCAGAGACTCGCTGGGGTCTCTACACAGGAGGGCTAGGTCTGCTTGTCTCCGTAGGCCGGCTCGCAGTGAGGCAGGTGCTCAGAGGATGTTTGTGGAATGAATGATTTTCTCTTTCCTCAGCCCTTCCCGAACACGGGCTGGCCTCAGCCAGCACTCAGCCACTTCCCCTCCAGCTGCCCTTCCTCCAAAGCTGTTTGGGGAAGACACAGCTGACTGACCCCACGCCCAACGCCGCGGCCTGAAGGTGCACCCACAGACCCCATCCCACAGTGCCCCACATCTTAGTCTGAGCACGATAGGACCTCAGCATCTCAGTTTTCTGGTCCAGAACTGCAGAACTGAAGACCCACAGAGCAGTCTTGCACCCACCCATGACACCTTGGTCTACATCATGGCACAGGTGAACCACCAATCTTAGGTAATTAAGAAACGATTTGTCATAATTAAAAAAAAAATCTAAATAAAATATGTTTAAAATTAATGGTAGAATGTAGGATGGTACAGCCGTTGTGGAAAACAGTTTGGCAGTTCCTCCAGAAGAGAAATATTGAGGGGCACTTACGTGGCTCAATCTGTGAAGCATCTGACTCTTGGTTTCGGCTCAGGTCAGGATCTCACTCACTGGTCATGGGATCGAGCCCCGCCTGGGGCTCCAACCTGGAAAGGGAGTCTGCTTGAGGATTCTTTCCCTCTGACCCTCCCTGCTACTTGCACATGGTCTCTAAAATGAATGAATAAATCTTAAAAAAAAAAAAAAGATTCTCTCTCTCCCTCTCTCTGCCCCTCCCCCTTGTGCTCGCAAGCTCTCTCTCTCTCTTAAAAAAAAAAAAGTAAGCATAGAATTACCATGGGATCTTAGCAATTCCACTCCTGGGTATAAACTCAAAAGATTTTGAGAGAACTCTGAAAGCAGAGCCTCAAACACACCCCAAAATTCACAGCTGCATTATTCACAAGAGCCCAAAGGTGGAAGGAACCCAAGTGTCCATCAACTGATGAATGGATAAACCAAATACAGAACATATATAAACATATCAAAAGTGTAAAACAAACATATACAATGGAAGATTATTCAACCTTAAAAAAAGGAATGAAGTTCTGATCCATGTTACCACACGGATGAACCTTGAAGGCGTAATGCCAAGTGAAAGAAGCCAGACACAAAATGGCAAATTCTGGAGGATTCCGTTTAGGTGAGGCACCTGGAATAGTCAAATCCATAGAGACAGAAAATGGAATGACCATTAACCGGGGGCTGGGGACAGAGGAATGAGGCGTTAGTGTTAAATGGGCACAGGGGTTCAGTTGGGGAGGATGAGCAAGTCCTTGAGATGGACGGGGATGCTGGTCGCATAAAGACATGAATGTGCTTAATGCCACTGAATCATACACTTAAAAATGCTTAAATTTCGTTATGTTTCTCTTGCTACAATTAAAAAGTGACTTCATTGGGCGCCTGGGTGGCTCAGTCGGTTGGGCGACTGCCTTCGGCTCGGGTCATGATCCTGGAGTCCCTGGATCGAGTCCCGCATCGGGCTCCCTGCTCGGCAGGGAGCCTGCTTCTCCCTCTGACCCTCCCCCCTCTCGTGCTCTCTGTCTCTCATTCTCTCTCTCGCAAATAAATAAATAAAATCTTAAAAAAAAAAAAGTGACTTCATTTCACTGGAAGGGGTCATTATGTTTGTAATCCCCTGTCTTTTCTATTTTTTATTTTGATTTTCCAGGCCCCCATGTTCCGGGCACATAGTAGGCCCTCCATCATGACTTGCCAAGTGTATGAAAGAGCCAGGCCTCCCCATCTAGCCCGATGACAAGCTAGCTCGTCCAGCAGCTCACGGCTCCCAACCAGGCAGCTGCTTCTCTTGATTTCACCAGAGCGGACAACCCATCGCTCAGCCACAGGTTGGTGGGGACGGGGACAGGTGCCTGATGGTGGTCAGGTGGTCCTGGGCTTTGAGGATTGGACACAGCCCCTGAACTGATGAAGAAGCGATTTCACACAGAGGCCTCTTTCTGGTGCCGTCAGAAGGCAAGACGCCACGCTCGGCACACTCCGGAGCTGGAATGCTGTCAGGCCCAAAGGCCCAGACCCCGCTTTGGTTGCATTTCACGCCGGAAGACATTTCTTCTTATGCGGCGGCAGCTCTTGGATGTGGCTTTTTTTTTTTTTTTTTTTAGATTTTATTTATTTATTTGTCAGATAGAGAGAGAGAGCACAAGCAGGGGGAGCAGCGGAGGGAGAGGGAGAAGTAGGCCCCCCACTGAGCAGGGAGCCGGACGCGGGGCTCGATCCCAGAACGCTAGGATCATGACCCGATTGGAAGGCAGATGCGTAACTGACTGAGCCACCCAGGCGTCCCTTGGATGTGGCTTTTAATATGCTCATTGCTGTGTCATCGCTTTCTCCCCCTGAGCAGTGGAGAGAATTGCCAAGTACTGGGACCATCAGGCTGTTGGGGGAATCAAGAAATTTGCCCCCCCAGTCAGTCTTTCAAAAACCCTGATATCTTTTTTATCAAACGTGAACATTTGATAGAGTCCGATTATTCCACGTGCTGACTGTATAGACAAGTCAGGTTTCTTAAAATCAAAGGAATGGTTTTCATTGGCATTATTTTTTTTTAAAGATTTTATTTATTTATTTGACAGAGAGAGAGAGATAGCGAGAGCAGGAACACAAGCAGGGGGAGTGGGAGAGGGAGAAGCAGGGCTTCTTGCCGAGCAGGGAGCCCGATGTGGGGCTCGATCCCAGGACCCTGGGATCATGACCTGAGCCGAAGGCAGACGCTTAACGACTGAGCCACCCAGGCGCCCTTTCATTGGCGTTATTGTATCACAGAGAAAGACTGTGAATCTTGGCCCTCATAAAAAAAAAAAAATTGATGTGCACCTTCATTCAACAGTGAGAGTGGCTTAGGTTGGAAAAGCAGACTTTTGTTCAGCCCATCTCTTTTGACAGCTGGCTAAAAAGACGTCCACTCACTGGCCTTGGCTTGATTGCACTTGTAATAGTCTCAATTTCTCTCGGCACTGAGTGAAGATTTGGAAGCACATTGTTGTTTGCTAGCTGCTCACCGTGAATAAGCTTTGAGCACTAGCATCCCGAGCAAGTGCCTCCGTCCACACAGCGGTGCCCTTCCTAGCAGCCGCCACGGCAACGGAGAGTCAGTCCTGATCTCCGTGGCCCCTTCTGGTCCACGTTGTGGCTCACAAGTAATCATCAACTTAACCAAAGAACGTCCTCCGCGGCAGCACCGATGTTGAGTGCGGGGGTGCAGAGGCAGAGGGAGAGAATTTTTTTTTTTTTTAAGATTTTATTTATTTATTTGACAGAGAAAGACACAGCGAGAGAGGGAACACAAACGGGGAGTGGGAGAGGGAGAAGCAGGCTCCCTGCCGAGCAGGGAGCCTGATGCGGGACTCGATCCTGGGACTCCAGGATCATGACCTGAGCCGAAGGCAGACGCTTAACCAACTGAGCCACCCGGGTGCCCTATAGGGAAGGTTATTAAGTGACAGAGAAGTAGGGAGAAAGGTGAAGACTTAGTTATCGTCGTCTTTTGTGCCTTTTGAGTTTTGTATTATATGCTTGTATTATTTTATTTTATTTTTTTTAAGATTTTATTTTATTTTGTGAGAGAGAGAATGAGATAGAGAGAGCATGAGAGGGGGGAGGGTCAGAGGGAGAAGCAGACTCCCTGCTGAGCAGGGAGCCTGATGTGGGACTCGATCCAGGGACTCCAGGATCATGACCTGAGCCGAAGGCAGTCGCTCAACCAACTGAGCCACCCAGGCGCCCGCAGAGGGAGAGAATCTTAAGCAGGCTCCATGCCCATCGCAGAGCCCCGCATGGGGCTCGATCTCATGATCCTGAGATCATGACTTGAGCCAAAATCAAGAGTCGGACACTCCACTGACCGAGCCACTCAGGTGCCCCCAAATTTCTATTTCTGCAGAAGAAAAAGAGAGTAGATACTAGGGGACAACTAGAAGTCTCTTCATTCATCCAATGAATGGTGTTGAGCCCCCACAGCAGTGATGGTTGAGCAGTGAACAAGAAAAAGAACATCCTGCTTCTCATGGAGTTGACACTCGAATGGGAAGAGAGCAAGAGGAGAGGGTTTCCAGGAGGAAGGAGCAGTCCGCTGTGTCCAATGTGGCTGTTTTCCTCACCCGACAAGAAGCCTGGAGGTGGGACAAGACGACTACCACAGCAGGCTCCAGTGTTATGTCAGTGTTCCAGGCGGGCAGAAGGTGGAAGAAAGGCCCACCAGTTGCCTCTGACTTCTTTTAAAAGAAAAAAAAAAAGCTTTAGGGGCGCCTGGGTGGCTCAGTTGTTAAGCGTCTGCCTTCGGCTCAGGTCATGATCCCAGGGTCCTGGGATTGAGCCCCGCATCGGGCTCCCTGCTCCGCGGGGAAGCCTGCTTCTCTCTCTCCCACTCCCCCTGCTTGTATTCCCTCTCTCGCTGTGTCTCTCTCTGTCAAATAAATAAATAAAATCTTTAAAAAAAGAAAAAAAAAGCTTTCTTGGAAACCCATCAGCTGCTTTCTGCTTCGATCTCGTTGGTCAGAACAAGGTTGCACGGCTACCCCTAGCTGCAAGGGAGGCTGGGAAATCAGGATCAGAATTCTCAGGACGGGCTGAGCGCTGGGCACATTGCCCATCAAATGCAGCCGGGTTCAGCTAAGAGAAGGAAGGAGGCTTGCCTGCCACACCCTTCCGTGCACGTGCCAGGGTCTGAGCTGCCCTGCACACAGTTTTGTGCGTCTGTAGGGGGAGGTACCTGCCAGCACATCTGTGGGATAACCACCCACCTCCTACGTTGTTGGTCGCTGATTTTACGGGCTGCCCCCACACTCCTGATGGTGTTATCGGATAAGAGAGAAAATAATTTTGCCCGTCTCTAAACCTGTCCGCTCTGACTTGTCACTCACCGTGTGGCTGGCTCTGTAACTGTCTCAACAATAGAATAGCTTCGACCTGGCTTCTCTACGAGGCAAGCACCTTTGAATAATGCCTCTGTGCTTCTGGTCCCTTCTCCGCCTTTAGGGACGGAAATCATCAATTTCGTATTGGAAAGCTTTATTTTCTGCTTGTTCTAGAAACACTCCGATGGCTTCCCAGAGCGATGCTCGATTGTTTTGTTGGGGGGAAAGATGTGCAAACTTCAGAGGCTCCTCGCCGCCGCCAGACGAGCCGACATGAGAGACCCCACACTGGTCGTAGGTATGACGTGACTTTGGTTTCAGCTATTTAGGTTGTCCTTTCTATTTTTACTTTTCCTCTCCCTTGTGCAAAATCCTACCTCTCCAAGCCAGCACATTCCACAGGCACATAAAATCCTCTTCACAGTGGATGTTTATGCCTTATTCTGAAATGTAAATTTTTGTTAATATTCTCATCCCTACTTTAGTGGTTCAACAAGCCATTTTTGTCTTACCAATCCATTTTCATTATTCGGGGCGATAACCCAACAGCAAATGCATTTAATGGCTTCCTATGTGGCCAGCACTATTCTGAGTGCTTTATATACGTTGTGACAGTTTGAAAACATGCTCCCAATTTTGGGGGACACTTTTATTAAGAAGTGGCATCTATGTCCCTGCCCCGTTAATCTGGGCTGGCATTAGTGACTCACTTATCACCAGTGGAAAGTAGGGGAAATGATGACTTGTGATTTCCAAGGCCAGGTACGAAAAGGCCGTGTAGCTTCTGCCTGGTTCCCCCGGGACGCTCGTTCTGGAAAAAGCCCAGCTCCCTGATTCTGCCATGATGGAGGTAAGCACTTCGGTCACCAGCTCCAGCAGAGCTAGCTGCCAACCTAGGGCACACACCAGGCGCCAGTTCTGTGAGTGAGCCATCTTGTACATGCTGCAAGCCCAGCTGGGCCATCAGATAGTGGCAGCCCCAGAATGTATCTGACTGAACCCCCACGAGAACCCCAAGCATGAGGTGCTCAGCTGAGCCCTTCCCGGATTCCTGACCCATAAAACTATGAGCAGAATCAAATGGTTGTGGGCTTTTTTTCCCCACCACTAGAATTTTTTTTTTAAGATTTTTATTTATTTATTTGACAGAGAGATAGAGAGCAAGCACAGATAGAGTGGCAGGCAGAGGGAGAGGGAGAAGCAGGCTCTCCGCTGAGCAGTGAGCCTGATGTGGGGCTCGATCCAGGGCCCTGGGATCATGACCCGAGCCAAAGGCAGATGCTTAACTGACTGAGCCACTCAGGCCCCCCCACTAGAATTTTTAAGCCAGAACAGGAACCCAAGACATAGAACTAATTTAGTTCTTGAATTTTCGGATAAAGACATTGAATCCCAGAGAGATTAAGCAAGTTGCACACGTTTTCACGGCAGAGGGAAGAGATGTGTGCAGGCAGGCTGATTCTAATATTCTGCCTCTTGACAATAAGGGGGTGGGGAAGCAAAGTTAACAAACGAATAGTAACACACAAAATGCAAAAATGTGTGCCAGGCAGGCTGACAGCACCCTGTTGAGGGAAGGTTGGTCCCTTTGGACCCACCATCCCCAACTGATGGACTTTGGAAAACACATACCACTTTTTTTTTTTTTTAAGATTTTATTTATTTATTTGAGACAGAGAGAATGAGAGAGACAGAGAGCACATGAGAGGGGGGAGGGTCAGAGGGAGAAGCAGGCTCCTCGCTGAGCAGGGAGCCCGATGCGGGACTCGATCCCGGGACTCCAGGATCATGACCTGAGCCGAAGGCAGTCGCCTACCCAACTGAGCCACCCAGGCGCCCCAACACATACCACTTTTAAGAACCCAGCGATTTCTACAAAAATTGCCATTATTTTTACATTTCAGATTTGCACAGTGTAAGTGGATGAAATTCTTCCACCTGTTATTTTCTCCTCTAAAACTTCCACGCTGCCTGGGGACGGCAGGTTTTGAGCCCGCATGAGGGAAACCCTGACCCCTCGCCTCTTGGCATCTCAGGTGTGGGAGCTGGGAAGCTTCCTGACAAAAAAAATATTAAAGCCATAAAATTAAAGGACATCAAATTTAACTGTTGGAAGCACCTTGGCTTTCATCTCCTCCAACCTTCCACCCAGGGCAAGACAAGGACAAGCCACGTGAGAGCAAAGCAGCTGCTTGGTAGGATGGCCCCAGCGGTGCCCGGAGGCAACTGGGGATGAATGACCAAGGAACCGTAGAGAAAATATGGTCGTCAGATTGCAGGGTCCGGGTGGTCACCGAGGGCTGGGAACTGGGTCAGCTTCATGGGCATGTGACCCGGGCTGTCACCCCTGCCTTGAAGGACCCCACACTTTAATGGCCTGCTTCACTATCTTGAAAGCCTTAATCATTTTTGAAAAAGGGGCCCCGCAAAGTATGTATCTGGGCCAGGATGGAGAGGTCTGAGAGCTGGCGCAGGAATGAGCATTTCAGGGGAGCAGGGCAGGCAAAGCCTGGGAGCCAGGAAGCCCAGAATCAGCTCGGGAAGCGGTCACTTACCCAAGACCACTGGGCAGGCAGTGATAGCACAAGAAACTGAACCCCGTCTGGTTGGATTTCACGGCACCGGGTCTTAAACACTTTGCTCTCCTGTCACCTGGGACGGACCTCTCACCGGAGCTGCCTTCTTGACTATTCCTACAATCTCAGCCTTCTTTTCCAGGGAGCCTTCCTGGATTGCTCTGGCCTAGTCATACTTGCCATTCCCTCCTTCCTTCATACTTCCTACCTAGCTGAGCCATGGTCCTTGTGTCAGCCTGTGTCCTTTCCCTGCCCCTCCTGGCTAGAGTCTATTGTGGCTTCCGGGCTCCCAGGCCAGTCCGGGCAGGGCCTTGCACATGCAAGAAGAATTTTTGGGCTCAGTCTTCTTGCTGCAAACCTCACATGTAGATTCCATGGTGCAGTCTTTCTCACCTTGCCATCCCTAGAGTTGGGCTCCTGCCTCAATTTTCCCGTCTAAAACTCCAAGGAACTGTGGGATAATGGGAGTCAGACCTGGTTCATATTCTGTCTTGCTACTCACTGTAAAGCAAGCAGCTCAGCCTCTGCAAGCCTCAGTTTCTGCATCTGTTAAATGGGAGTAAATCCCCACCTTACCCAAGTGCTCAAGGTTGGCAACACCAGTCATGTGGATGTCACCTACCCCCTGATACACAGCGACGGCAAGGGCATCACAGCTCTGTGCTCTTCTCCCCTTCCTGGGACCGATAATGTGAGAAAACACCAGACAAGCCCCAAGGGACAGGCTACAGAATCCCTGACCGGTACCCTTCAAAACTGCCAACGTCATGAAAAGCAAGAGAAGAATGAGAACCTGTCGTAGAGCAGAGGAGACTAAGGGGGCGGGATGACTGAATGTGATGTGGTCTCCGGACGGGATGCTGGAGCAGAAAAAGGACGTTAGTGGACAAACGGGCGAATCTAAGTGGAGTCTGGAGTTTAGTTAATAGTAATGTACCAGTGCTAATTTCTTAGTTCTGACAAACATACTGTGGTTATGTAAGATGTTAACATGGTGAGAAGCTGGGTGAAGGGTACACAGCCAAACGCTCTGAGGGAGCTCTACCTTTGCCTTTTTTCTCAAAACCTAAAATTATTCCAAAATAAGATGACTAAAAAACAAACAAAACCTGCACTGCTGTTATTGCTTTTGTCTGCCCAGTGTCCCTCCCCCATTCTTCGGCTGACAGGCCCTGCCCTGGTGACAAGGGTGGGGATACCTGTCCCAGGCTGGGCCATTAATTTGCCCTCATCATCCTGGCCACAGTGATTGGTCCAGGGGGTAAGCATGTGACCCAGGCTGGGCCAGTCAGACTTCTTCCCTAGAATTGTTCAGCTTGGAACAGGAGGAAAAGCTCTCTCAGTCTCCCGGTGAGTCTGGGAGGCTGTCAGCCCGGGGTTGTGGGTGCTCCTGGTTCCATTGCAGAGGGACTATGGACCGAAAGAACTAAGCCAGAGAGAGAGAGACAGAGAGAGAGAATGAATGCTGATGGCATTCAAGATGGCCTCCTTCTCCTTCCCAGTCTTCCTCAGGCACAGCCTCCTCAGCCTGCACTGTTCTGGGAGCCAATATATCTTCTTTTGAGTTTAAGCCAATTCAAACTGGGCCTGAGTTGGGTTTCTGTCACTTGCAACCAATGAGTCCTGATTAATACCTTCCTCTCAAGTTGCTGTGAGGATTTGACGGGTTGTATATAACAGGGCATGGAGGCAGGCCCCCTATAAGTGGTGAAGGATGTCGGTGTCCTCTCCAAGGAGTCCGGGGCCTGCCCTGCTTGAACTCCAGCCTGCTTGGCTGTGGCCCTGACACCTGCCTCACTCCCCTCCTGGTTCGCACACAGCCCCCTGACTTCACACGTCCTCCCACCTCCAGGCCCTGCGTGGGGACTCCTCCTCCTGGTGCTGGGAGCTGAGTGTTCTGCTCATTGGGCTCTGCTCTGGGAAAGGCACCAGAGGGGAGGAGAGGGAACTGGGCCTCTGGCAGAAAATTTCCTCTGCAGAAGTAGGGGGGAAAACCCCACATCGGTCTGGCTGGACCCAGTGCAACCAAGAGGTAGCTGGTGTTGGGAATGTGGAGGCTTGTCTAGTGCTTGTTCTGAGGATAAAATGATGGAGCTGTGGGGACCTGGTTCCACGGGCCCCAAGCAAGAGGAGCCGGGACGGGGGGAGCAGGAGATTTGAGAGAAGCTTGAGGGAAACCACAGGCAGAACAATCAGAAGGATTTGCGTGCGTGAGCAAGGGCAGAAGTCGCTCTTTTATCTGAGGTCTGGGCTATGGGCCAGGAAGGGAGAGACACGACCGGGGAAGTCCAGGGGATGTAGACAGGGCATGCCGCCCCCTTTCCTGGGCACCTGAACTTGGGCTGGGAAGGACCTTGCAGAGCCTGAGGAGGGACGAGACAGGGTCCTGGGTTGCCCCCTGCTGCTCTGGCCATGTCACACGTCTGTGCCTCGTTCCTTCTGGGTGCGCTGCCTGCCTGCCCCTCCGCACCTGTCAGGCTGGCAGGGAGCTGGGGCATCTCTTCCTGTGCGCACTCTCCTTCTGCCCAGGGCCCCCACCCTGGCCCCTGGGGCAGAGCTGAATTCACTCACCTTCCCACTCTCCCAGACGTTTGCTTTCCTCCTCGCATGACTCTTCCTTCCTTCCTTCCTTCCTTTGTTCCCTCAGGCGTGAACTGGATCATTTTATTCCACAAATGTTTTGGGAGTGCTGACTGCATGATGGCTTCTGATCGAACAGAGG